ACGCCCACATCCCATATAACGGTAATTTAGAGAAATACGAAATCTTCGATAAATCAGTAAATATTAAAGCTAATTTATTCAAAATTGATGCTTGCAACAATTCTCTACCAAGAAATACGCTTAAGAGAAAATTTTTAAAAATGGCCGTGGCACCGCCCACTTATGATCAGGTATATGTATCTCGGTAACCGTTCTAGCAATTTGTACCAAACTCGGTGTGGTTAACGTGCTTGCCACATAGAAGCAAAACGTTGAAAATTATTGAAGTCGAACTAAAATTACGGCCCCTTTCCATGTAACAGTAAATTTCAGAAATGCTTGAAACTTCAATATTTCGAAATTTAAGGACGCTAATTTACTCAAAATGGATACACCCCGGTTTACCATGTAGCGGTAGCTTTCGGAAAGGTGAAAAACATATATTTAATACTTGCGCCGGGTATTTAATGTTCGGCTCCGCCCGAACTTAGACTTTCTTACTTGTTTCTTTTTTAATTTAATACGAAATCTGACATAAGGGATAAAATCATTTTTCACTTAAATTGCTGGTGAAACGGGCAGTAAAGTCGGTAAAATTGGATATTTAATTTTTGGAAATTTTTAAAAACTGAAAAATCGGAGAACCTTTAAACAAATTTACAACACTTTCGAAATGTTTTCCAGTTTTCAACTTAATCAAATTCGAATAACGTTATTTTGGTAAAAAACTCGTTTAAAAAAATTTAAGATCTCTTTTGAATTTCCCCGTATGTATTTCGTTTAATTCTTCTAGATGTTTCATAAAAACTCAGTCGAATCGTTTCATAAGCAAAACGAATGTATCCTTCAAATTTTGCCCTTATTTTTTGTTTTAAATTACCCAATTAATTTTTTTTTATAAATTCAAACAAAACACATGCTGTGATTAAAATTCAAATACTACTTAATACATACATACATACAATATATCTTTTATTTTGCGAAATAAGTTTATTTTTTATACCCGAGTGCACTTGTGCACAAGGGTATTATAACTTTGTTCACATAACGGTTGTTTGTAACAGGCAAAACGAATCGAGATAGATATAGACAAATGCATACATAAATGATCAGGATGAAAAGAGAAATCGATTAAGCGGTGACTGTCTGTCCGTCCGTCCGTCTGTGCACACGATAACTCGAGTAAAAATTTAGATATCTTAACGAAACTTGGTATGTGCACTTCTTTCGGGCGGAGGACGGATGGTATTGAAAATGGGCAAAATCGGACAATAACCGCGCCTACCTCCCATATAACGGTAATTTTCAGAAATACGAAAACTGCGATATTTTAGTAACTACTGAAGATTATTCACTCAAAATTGATATTTACAATAAGTTTTAGACAAAAAATAAGAATATTATAAATTTTTGGAAAATGGGCGTAGCCACGCCCACTTATGGTTACATGTGTATATCTTGGTAACCGCTGCACCAATTTCTTCCAAACTTGTCACAGTTGTTAACCTTGGTATATCATACGAAATGGCCGAAATTTTTTTTAAATCGGACAATAACCACGGTAATTAGACACACACACACACCACATATAACGGTAATTTAGAGAAATACGAAATCTTCGATAAATCAGTAATTATTGAAGCTAATTTATTCAAAATTGATGCCTGCGACAATCCTTTACCAATAAATACGTTCATGCTACAATTTTGAAAAATGGGCGTGGCACCGCCCACTTATGATCACATATATGTATCTCGGTAACCGTTCTACCAATTTGTACCAAACTCGGTGTGGTTAACGTTGAAAATTATTGAATGCAAAACGTTGAAACTTATTGAAATCGAACTAAAATTACGGCCGCTTTTCATATAACAGTAAATTTCAGATATGCTTGAAACTTCAATATTTCGAAATTTAAGGACGCTAATTTACTCAAAATGGATACACCTCGGTTTACCATGTAGCGGTAGCTTTCGGAAAGGTGAAAAACATATATTTAATACTTGCGCCGGGTATTTAATGTTCGGTTCAGCCCGAACTTAGACTTTCTTACTTGTTTCAAAATAAAGAATTTCATACTTTATCACCAAGCTTCTAAAGACTGGTTTTCACTATGTCATATTTTGACACAATTTTATCTGCTTTATCTATACCTTTACCGATAATATTATTGGCCACAAACTGACAGATAGCCGATTTAGCAGCGCACGTACCCGACTAAAGACCTATTCTGATCGAAATCAATGGATAAACCGCGTTTTAAACCCATTTGACAATGTGTTTTTTACTTATTTGACGACAAATGCCACTGAATTTGACATAGTGAAAACCAGCCTTAAGAAATAAAACTGTTTTAAGAGAAATATTATATTTTCTACCAATAGTTTCCTCCAANCTGCACCAATTTCTTCCAAACTTGTCACAGTTGTTAACCTTGGTATATCATACGAAATGGCCGAAATTTTTTTTAAATCGGACAATAACCACGGTAATTAGACACACACACACACCACATATAACGGTAATTTAGAGAAATACGAAATCTTCGATAAATCAGTAATTATTGAAGCTAATTTATTCAAAATTGATGCCTGCGACAATCCTTTACCAATAAATACGTTCATGCTAAAATTTTGGAAAACGGGCGTGGCACCGCCCACTTATGATCACATATATGTATGTATCTCGGTAACCGTTCTACCAATTTGTACCAAACTCGGTGTGGTTAACGTTGAAAATTATTGAATTCGAACTAAAATTACGACCGCTTTTCATATAACAGTGAATTTCAGAAATGCTTGAAACTTCAATATTTCGAAATTTAAGGACGCTAATTTACTCAAAATGGATACACCCCGGTTTACCCTGTAGCGGTAGCTTTCGAAAAGGTGAAAAACATATATTTAATACTTGCGCCGGGTATTTAATGTTCGGTTCAGCCCGAACTTAGACTTTCTTACTTGTTTCAAAATAAAGAATTTCATACTTTATCACCAAGCTTCTAAAGACTGGTTTTCACTATGTCATATTTTGACACAATTTTATCTGCTTTATCTATACCTTTACCGATAATATTATTGGCCACAAACTGACAGATAGCCGATTTAGCAGCGCACGTACCCGACTAAAGACCTATTCTGATCGAAATCAATGGATAAACCGCGTTTTAAACCCATTTGACAATGTGTTTTTTACTTATTTGACGACAAATGCCACTGAATTTGACATAGTGAAAACCAGCCTTAAGAAATAAAACTGTTTTAAGAGAAATATTATATTTTCTACCAATAGTTTCCTCCAAAATTCCTTTGACATACGATTTTTGTTTCCACATACTTTAAAAAAAAAAACTAAAATATATTTTGTGTGGAAATAATCTCCTCGAAAAAAATTTCGCCTTTTTTGATCTTGATTTTCGTATCACCACCAATTACAAAAAAAATCCCAAATATAAAAATTGTGTTTTGTTATATTTAGCTAACAGTTGCTAGCAAATAAAAAATTAAATTTTACATTCTGGTTGAATTGAAAAATTTCCCGGTATTTTTATTTAAAATATACTTTCTTTGAGGAAAGGGCCGACATTCTTTATTTTTATACTAATACCCAAAATTTAGTTCCTAATAATTCCTACTTTATAAAAAAAAAGTTAGACTAATGCGAGAATTTTCCTAATATTTTTATTAATAGAATTAAAAAAAAAAATATCGAAATCCAATTACCTAGAAACTTTACTCCTATAGAATCCCCTATGTTATTTTCCCACCAATTCCATAAATTTCCCGATAATATCTATTGAAAAAAGTCTTTAAAAAATTTCGAAATCCTTTTTCTCTCTTTTATGTATCCACAAATTCTAATATGTACTAAAAATACCAAAAATTTCCCCATACACATTTATATAAAAAATAATAATTTCAAAACAAATATTAAAATTTTGTGTTATTTTATATTCTTATATGTTCAAAGATTTTCCCACTAAGTTCAAAAATTTCCCAATAAGTATGTATGTATTATTCAAAAATTCATTGAAAAAATGTACTTATCTAACCCACTTAGAAAAAAAAATTATTTGAAAAAATGTTTTCCTTTTTTTTACTTTCTTTTTCATCTTTTTCTAACTGACGTGCTATAAATAAAATTTTAATTTCCCCACTAATTTCGAAAATTCCCCACTACATATTTTTATAAAAACATTTTATTGAAAACAAATATATATTAAAATTTCTTTTATGTTTTTAACTAACCAAAACACTAATTGAAAACCAAATTTTATATTCTGACTTGTTAAAAACACTCAATATTTTTTTTTATACACAAATTTATTAAAAATCTTAAATTTTGTATTCCCACTAATTAGAAAAATATCCCAAGATCTTTATTAAAAAAATATCCCAATAGTTTGATTAAAAAAAATCATCGAAAAAGCGTCGAAATCGTCCTTTCACTTTCACAGTATATTTTTTTATTCTGACAAACTCGAAAAATCTCCTAATATTTTTGTTAAGAAAATTTCGTTTAAGAAAGTCGAAACCGAGCACTAATAGAAAATCCATTTTATATTCCCTCTGGTTCCAATCCATATTACCATATATTTTCCGCTATTTTCAAACAAAAAAATTTTCTGATAAAATTTCGAATACATTTTAATAAATTAATTCACAGGAATGAAATTTTTTTTTTTCTTGTTTTTGAAAATTCGGTCAAAGTCTATACCTACCGTACATAGACTATTCTTAAAAAAAATTACGCTAACTTATGTTTCCTACCCCTACTCCTACTATTCCAACTTCTCATATAAAAATCATCTGCTTTCGGAAAAAGCTCCTTTACATAATCATAAAGCCCTTATTTTTTCCTGTTCTAAAAAAAAAAAAAGTATAACCTCTTGCTTATATTTATTAATTACGCAGCCCAAATACTTGCCATTTGTGGAAGCCCAAATTATTGCGCTAATCGCTGCCTACTTGATAGTGCATCCCTTTGGTGTCAGCACCGAGTCAATTTGTGTCTACCTACGACAATCTATGAAAACGCTAGACCTACAGGTCCTAACTTTAGAACAAATACTCACAACCTATACGAATCTCTTCAAAATGGAATGTCAGACAGCAGATGGAGGGGATGACGAAACTAAAGTGCAATGGAAGTTTTGTGGATTTACAGAAGCTAACGATGTATTTAAGGAGGAAAACGAAACAGCCAACGCAAAAAATGGAGATTAGAGAAAATAGAAATGGCAAATTCTAACGTAAGAATCTTGGACTCCCTACTGGCTAATTAAATAACTTGATAAGCATTTTTTTATTGCAAATGTATGTACATATACATATTACATAAATAACAATTATTCACAAATGCAACATCGATTTTAATTCATAGATTTTAATACATAATTCAATGTTAATTGGAGCTGATTAAATGAGTTTTAATTACATTAAAAAAATGAATCTTAAAAATGTACTCTCAAAAAAAAATTTTGATTATTATTAGTTTTTATTTGATTGTAGTTATTGAAAATGCAATAAAAGGTTTACAAACTAATCTCAATATTATTTATGTAGTAATGGTGGGCGTTTGTAATAAATTGTATTCGTAAAAGTAGAAATGCAGCACCAACATTTGCGTGTGTTATGGCCCTTATTCAATGGAGTTTTCTGGAAAACCTTTACCATTCCTATCTTCAAATTAAAGTTTTTTGGAACACAATATTTTCGCCTTCAGCCGCGATGTAATCGTTCAACTCCTCTTGCCTTATGCTCAAAGAGAATATGGTTTCACTTTGTTGAACCTCTCTACAAGACAGTTAACGAAAAGGGGACGGTGGTGTCATTTGGACTATTTTCGTATTTTACGAATATTTGTCCTGACTTCATCTATGTACCTCTTTAGATATCGGTCATTTATCTTTCCAGACAGTTTGGAATTGAAAAGGATTGGATTTTTTTATCTAATCAAGCTTGCTGTTGTAGTTGTAGCGGCTCTGCCTCCGTCGGATTGTTCTTCAATAGTTGTCTTCAAGCTCAACTAACGGTTGGCCCAGGAAAAGTGATGTTTCGAGGAAAGACCGAACCAGAGGGAGAGGGGTGTTAGTTGAGATGGATTGAGTGGGCATGTGAAGTAGTGGTTGGTGTCGTGGGTGGAGTCTTCACGTAGGAACGATAGTAATTTCCTAGGATCCACATATTTCAATGACTAGGCGCGGGCGACAGGTCCACGATAGCTATTTTAGCGGGCTGATCAGGAGGCGCACAAACTGACCGGAAACAGTACAGCACTTGCTTTCATCAGTGATGATGTCGAGGTGGCCATCAGAAAGGCGTAAGTCTCTAAAGCCATTGGTCCCGACGGAATTTGCATGCTGATGCTGAAACATTTGGGACCCGGGAGTGTACCATATCTCACCAAGGTTCTCAACTTGTCAATGGCCACTCGCTGATAACAGGGAAGCTAGCCAAGAAAAGATAATCACCCCTATTCTGGTTGTCGTAAGTCGTTCACATCGACAGTCGTTCGTTGAATTATGTCATAAATAAAAACATAAACGGCAGATTTTAACACGTTTTCAGTACTTCTTCATTTCGAAGAGATAATAGGAATAAAAATTTGTAGTGGATTATGTCACTGGTTGCCTCATAACGCCAATGAAAATCTCAAATTTCGACGAACGACTGTCGTTTCGACAATGGGAATAGAGCCGAATCTTCTCGCCCGATAACACTTCTTTCTCCAGTCGCGAAGACACTTGAGGGCCCCAGCGGAACATCAGCATGGTTTCCGTAAAGTGCACAGCACAACAACGGCACTTAACGACATAAACACAGACAGAGCACAGTCCAGTAGCGTGGACTTGTAAAAGGCGTTTGACCCCAAACTTTGTCGTTTCTTCACTGCAAGGAGTCTAACCGACTCCTCAACGAAATGAACGGTGATGCTTCCCGACAGCACCTGGGGCAAAGACAAAGAAACGTTGCTGGCAACATACAAGGCAATTGGCCGGCCGTTCCGGAACTACGCTGCGCCTGTTTGGTCGCTGTGGACTATTTGGACGCAGTGGACGAAGCTACAGACTTGTCGGAAGGTCACACTCCTCACAGCGACGGGATGCCTGCTAATGTCGCCTGAACTCCATCTACATAGTGAGGCCCTCCGCTCAGGCATATTAGGAGGCATCTCTGGGGGTACCTGGACGCGGTCTAGACATACATCCACCAACGGGTCTACGTAACCGGAACGACCCAGATTTATATTTGGCCAAGGACTGTCACTTCAGCAACACTCCCCAAAAACTCTTGGCAACTTGTATGTTGCTACAACAACAGCAACACTGCCGGCATATGAATGCGGTGTTCGAAGATCAATCACCACCTGTCCTTGATTTGGAGCTTCAACTACCTCGCAAGATCCGTGCTAATCTGACCCTGTTACGGTCCGTATATTGTAGACGTCGCAACAGGTACTGAAAGTCGGAGGAGAATCTATGTATATAAAATAGAATAGAGTAAGCTTTGCGACCAGTAGGTCTATTGGGCCCTCCGCTTATCACATCACTGCATCTAGCCCCAAAGACTCCTTAAATTTTAGAAGAGATACCGGGGGTAGGGTTGAATGTGATCTTCTCTTGGCCATATACATATATGTATGTCAAAATGATGTGTTTGTTGTCATATGAATCAACACCACCTTGTATAAATTCGCCTTGTTGTCTGCAGACCCGTCTGCTCTATGAGAGCAAGCAATTAAATAGCCTTTCAGAGATTGAAGGCAACAAGAGTTTCGTCCACCTGCAGCCACCGGATGCCTCTTCATTGCTGAGCGAAGTATTCACCTTGCATTGCTTAACTGGTTTTGAAGTACTTAGTCAGAGGGCTGGCCAAAGCTTTAAGTGCAGCTTGGCTGTCACTGCAGGCACGTCAACTCCTTCCCCTCCATCTATTTTCCACCACGTAGTCTAAGGCCTTAAGTATTGCAAATACCTCAGCTTGGAAGACCGAAGCATATTCCCCAAGAGAAAAGTGAAGCCTATATATATTAAGTTCGAAAAAGACCCCAGATCCGGAGCCGGAGTCAGTTTTTGAGCCATCAGTGAAGATTCGATAGTGTGTGCGCCATAATTGTGTATGCAAAATAATTTTTTTGCGCTATCTGTCAGGATTACAGGAGAACCATTGCTCCTAAAAAATTGTGGGCATTAAAAATTAGAATCTTAGAACTTGAAAGGCTTTAAAGTCTCAATACGCACATTTTATACCGAAATACGGCCTGTTAAAAATCATCGAAAAATTTGGAATTTTTTTTCTCTCGCATTTTTTTGGAGTAGTGTATAATCGGCCTACATTGATAGATAAAGCCAAGCAACAATTCGCACAACGTCTTCAAAAGAGTCACAACTCAAAATAATACGTTTATCAGAAAATGCGAAAAACTATTTCTTATGGGTAAGGGCGACTTTACCATAGGTTTTCTTTAACAAATTATAACAAAATGAAAGGTAAATAAAAGCTCTGTGTACATTTTTAGCGCATAATTTAAAAAATGTCAAATTTTTAGTTGTGTCTCTTTTGAAGGCGGTGTGCGCATTTTTGTTCTTTTCTACCGAAACTAGATACATTTTCGTGGACCCACACTTGCCACTCGTGAACCCCGATATTTCTTTCACGCCACCGTAGACTCTCGTCGAGTCTTCCGTGGACCCCTGGGGGTCTTACTGATGTACATTGATGTATACTGACAAATATCGCCCGCGAGAAGTGGAGCAAAATGGCGCAAAAACGCGCTAATTGAGTCCTAGACAGTGACTAGAAAGCACAACGACCAACCAACCAAGGAGACCCATTTAGAGAACGGATATATCGTCGGTGATACTGCAAAACGTGCTATGTCACTTCTTACCTCTGGTGCTTAATCTGGATCTGATCGCTTCTGGCAATCGTTAATCTTCATCAACGAAAGGTAGAGAGTTTTATCATTCGTTTATTAGGGTATTACGACTTGAAGACAAATTCCGGTGCAAGTAAGGGACCATCGTAACTGTCAAGGGTAACTAATAGCCATAGACCGTTTTGCAATATCAACGACGATATGTATATTCCATATTATTAGCGGTTAATATATATATCCGTCTGAGTCCGTTATGTATATGGCTTTCTAAATTTGCAAGGGCTTTCTTAGTGTACATATTTATAATACACAAAGAATTACTACTTTTTGCGAAATCAACAAATTTCATCAGCTTACGCAATTTTTATCCTTTCGTTAAATGAATAAGTATAAACGAGAGTATACTAGTAAAGCAATTTCATTGAGAAAACACGAAATTTAATCTTTAAATGCAGCAATAACTACGCAATGATTCGCTTTCACCTTCAGCAAGGACAACACGATACATACATATGTATGTGTGTAAATACTCAAAGGACACAGAACGCAGCATCAGAATATCCTTGTATGTATGTAGACTAGCCATAGAGAGAGAGAGAAGTGGTTGCAATCCTTTACACACACACGTCTGTATAATTTCGTGTTGGTACTCGTATTAAAACCTGTTTCATAAATGTGCATAGTTGTTTGTATGAGGTTAGATATTTTCACTTCGTCGGTGACCGGCGGCCGAAGGCAATTGACCCCCTATTTGTTGGCTAAACTCCCAAATTGATGACATTGTAGCTGACGTCTATGGAATGGGCGGTGCAGTGGACCGTGAGATTTTCGTAAGAAAGACAAAGTCGTTGAGTTTAGCTTTTTTCCTCTTTAAGCTGCATATGACAGCTGCCACAGTGTAATCAAGTTATATTATTTTTTACCTAAAAAATAGAAACCTTCAAATAGCGGAAAATAAATTTAGGCCACCTAATGGCTTTGCTACTTAATTGTTTCGATTCACAGATAAGGGGATATTCTAATTAACAGTCATCAAGTGTTTTTCCTGCAAACATTAATAATTATTGTGTTCGTCCTTGACACATCCTAAATATGTATTGCGTGTCTCATTGCAAGACTCCTGAATAGAACCAGAGTTTTACGATCGAAAAATATTGACTTTCAAGAATTCTATACCATTTCTACGAAACAATTTATTTATTTTTCCCATATAAAAATACATGAAAAACTTTGAGCGCTTTGAGCGACCCCTAAATTTTTTTTTGATAAAAAAAAATCGGGGTATACTTTTTCGATATGTTTTTAGACCACCCTAATGTACACCCTCAATCGATATTTGGTTGTGTTTTAGCCACCCCTAACTCACTGTGCGCAGCATTGAACAGCTGAATGTCATTGCCGGTGTCGTTTTTTCGCTGCTGATACCATCTCTTAGGCGCTAACACTTACATACGTGTCGAAGCATCCCGAAAATACCAAAAAGAATTCGCACACACACACATACACAAATGCTTACCAAAATCTAAATGTGGATGTGTGCGCTAGCAAAGGAAAATTTTCCGAAGATATATCTATCCCCCCTA